GTGTGTCCCACTGAAGCTCAGGTTCTTCGCAGGTTCTCTTGGGCCCTGTCCCACTGAGGGCGTAGAACTGGCTTAGAGTGACCAAAACCCTCGAAATAATTCTTATCTCCAGTTTGATACTCAGTATGTCCATTTAATTTGTTTTCAATTTTATGTTTGCTTTCCTTCCTTTTTGATTTAATGTTTTGGAATATTCACATGGCTGAAAGTTGAACACCGTAGTCCGGCGTGTGCATGGGGCTCCTTGCCTCCATTATCCCTGCAGCTCCACCCCCTGCCTGCCTCCTAACGGTCACCAGACTTTTCATGTATGGCTGGTCCTTGCAGTGTCTTTATTGATTTGTTGCTTCAAAAATAAGCAAACGTTTACATTTTATTTCCCTGCTTTCTAATTCACTAGTAACATACCAGATACACACTTCTGCTCCCTGCGTTTTTCAGTGAACATCACAGACATCACCTGTGCTCGTTTCTGCTACAGCTGTGTCGTGCTCTGCGGGGTGGGTCTGCTGCTGTTTGCTCGGCCACTCTCCCAATAGACGTTTGCGTCATTTCCAGTGTTTTGCTATCTCAGCAGTTAGTAACCTTGATTCTTTCTGGCTCTGGGAGGGGGAATATGGAATCAAAGGCTTCCGAGGTGTTGACAGACACGGCCGCCCACACCCTCTGTCAGTGCCGCCCAGGTTCCGCTGGCGATCCACGGGGCTGCCCGATTCCTCTTGCTCGCCCTCGAAGTGGGGCGTTAAAGGTTGGGAATTTTCCAGTCCCGTAGACGTGAAGGCCATCTTAGTGTGGTTTTAATTTGCGTTTCTTTTGTATGAGTCAGATTGAGTATCTTTTACATTTGTCTTCATCTGCACACTTCTATTCATATCTGTTTCATATCATGATTTCATATCATGTTTTTAATCTATTTTGTCTTCTGTTCTGGGGAGCTCTTGTTAGGGACATGAACCCTCGTGATAGAGTAAAAAATTGCAAATGTGTTTTCCTACTTTGCCATTTGTCTTTTTACTTTGCTGTTGGTGGGCTCTGCCCTGTAAATGGTTTTTTAAAAAATGTAGTCGAATGTATCAGTCTTTTCTTGTTTCTAAATTCTTTTTTTTTTTTTTTTTTGGAGACAGAGTCTTGCTCTGTTGCCCAGGCTGGAGTGCAATGGCGTGATATCGGCTCACCACAACCTTCACCCTCCGAGTTCTAGCAGTTCTCCTGCCTCAGCCTCCTGAGTAGCTGGGACTACAGATGTATACTACCACACCAGGCTAATTTTTGTATTTTTAGTAGAGATGGGTTTTCACCATGTTGGCCAAGGTGGTCTTGAACTCTTGACCTTGTGATCTGCCCGCCTCAGCCTCCCAAAGTGCTAGGATTACAGGCGTGAGCCACCATGCCTGGTCCTTGCTTCTAAATTTTTGAGTCATAGACAGAAAGTCTTTCTCCTCTCCTGCTTTACAGAGCAATTTTGGCTTGTGTTCTTCTCGGACTTGCAGGTTTTATGTTTAGACACCTGATCTATTAGCAGTTTCTCCTACTGTGTGAGGGGAGGCGCAGATCCAGTTTTACCTCGTCTCTTGTGTCTGTCCAGCGGTTCCCACGCCTGTTAACAAAACTCTGTCTTTCCTCCGGTGACTTGAGAGCCACCCTCATCATGTACCAATCTTTTCCACGCTTTGGGGGCTATTTCTAGATTTTCTAATTTGTTCCATTAGACTCGGCCCAAACTGTTTTCTGTTAAGGGCCAGCTAGTAAATATTTGAGGCTTTCTGGGCCACTCATGGTCTCTGTCACATATTCTTCTTTTAGTTTACAACCCGTCAGAAACATAAAAACCGTTTCTGATCTCACTGCCAAGCTTGGCCTCAGGCTGCAGCGTATGTCCTCTGCACGGGGCTGTGTCTGTGTCACGGAGACCGCGCCTTCAGTCAGAGGCTCCTTCATCATCTAGATTCCTAGCAAGCAGAGCTCCCACCACCTTGATCTCTCTTGCAGGGTTTTCCTGGGTACTCTTGCTTATTTCGTTTTCCATAAGGACTTTTTAGGATCTTTGTGGGAATTCCATCACATTATAGATTAACACAGGGAGAATTCACACCTAACCCCAAGGAGATGAGGGTCCAGGGACGAGGCTGCCTTTCCATGTGTTCGTGTCTACTGTGTACCTTTCTGAAGAGTTTTAAAGTTTGTGTCATATGGCTAATGCTATATTTTTGTTTTCTAATTGATGAAATTTTGTGTTTATCTTTACTATTTCCTCTTTTCTCCTTGATTTTTGGTGTTCTTTACTATTTTCCTAATTTTTTTTGAGCTGCTTAATTCATTTATCTTAATTCGTTTGTACGGATATACATGATTCAAGGCTACGAATTTTCCCATGATTACTGCCTTATGATTGTTGATACTGATAAGTAGTGTTTTCATTATTTTTTTCCAGAAGATCTTTTTTGATTGTGTTTGCCCTTTGACAGAAAGTTATTTATGAGTAAGTTGCCCATTTATTATTATTTTTTTAATTTACATTTTCTTTTTTTTTTTTTGAGACTAGGTCTTGCTCTGCAGCCCATGCTGGAGCCTCCACCTCCTGAGTTCCAGTGATCAGCCTCAGCCTCACGGGTAGCTGGGGCTGCAGGTGTGCACCATCATGGCTGGCTTATTTTTATATGTTTTGTAGAGATGGGGTTTCATTCACCGTGTTGCCCAGGCTGGTGTATTAATTTCTAGTTTATTGCATTATGTTCAGAGATTATTATTTGTATTATTTCTCCTTTACGGAGTGTAGTTTTTTTGTGGCCTAATATATGGTTAGTTTTTATTAATGTTCCAAATACACTCGAAAAGTTGTTTTTTCTGCCACTGGGGTGCAGCATTCAGATCGATCCCTGAGTTAGCTACTCTGGTTTTCTAGACTGTTACTCGCTCATCGTTGCCTGGATCTGCCTTTGAAAGGGGAGTGGTTAGTTTCTACCATTACTGTGTTTTCCATTTCCTCAATCCCAGAGCAGTGAGGCTTCCACCTGGGCTGTAGTGTGGTTTTTGTGAAGGGGGTGCAAGAGGTGGGATTGGGGAGGACAGTGCCACTGCCGCTGGGAGTCTTCTTAGTTCAGGTGGAGGCCAGCTTCCCAGGCTTCTGAGTGGGGTGGAAACGGCACAGGGTGGACCATGAGGAGCTTGGACCTCAGGGGTGGAGCCTTTTGTCTCAGCTGGACAGGGAGGGGAGAGGTCCGAGGCTGTGGTGGGGAAAGTTGGGAGGCTGGTCAGAGGTGCCCAGGCCAGGATGGCCCCGTGCCTGGCATGCCCCTCCCCCCCACTCAGGAGCCCTCAGCACACTGTCAGTTCTGGGTTCAGGGTACCTCCGTCCTTGAGACCCTGTGCTCCTTAAGGGCGGGACCCTGCTTATTCAGTTCTCCCAGCATTACCCCGTGCAGGGCCCCGAATGTGGCTGGGACGCAGTCGTTTGTTTGCTGAGTGAGTGGATTAGTGGTGGCATTGAAACGCCCTGGCAATGCTGGGATATAGTGGGGATGGAGCAGGGGCTGACCCAGTGGGGCGTTGGAAGGAGCTCCCTGGGAAACACGACAGAGGGTTCTGTTGGGTCAAGCTGTGTTTGAGATGTGCCTAGAACTCTAGGAGGGTCTGTGGTGTGGGAGAGGCTGAGGTGGGGGTGCAGAGTTGATCTGCAAAGGCCTGGCCGGTAATGGAGGGAGGACCTGGGCCCCTCCTTACTCTGCAGCCCAGGTCAGCGCAGGTCAGGCCCTGAGCCAGGCTTTGGTGCTCATGGGTCTTTGTTCCAGGGCCTGCTGCCCCTGCGAGGAGTGCCACGGGGCTCGCATCTGTGCGTGTGTGTGTCCTGAGCTCTGGCTAGATACCACAGTCCAGGATAGGTGGGGCCGGGGCAGGGGTGGGGGCCGTGTGGCTGGTCACCTCTGAGGTGCCTGCCCTTGAGTGATGTTAATCGCCAGCTCCTTCTTGATCTTTGTCCATATTCTTTACTTGCCTTTCTGTCCCAGATGCCCCCGTGACCTCCTGCTGTGGCCAGCGCCAGGCCTGAGCAGTGGGTCCTGCTCCACCTCCCTGGGGCTCCCCCTCGGTCCCCTGCCCTGACACATGGCACTCACTCCTTGTCCCCTGGTCTTGAGAAAAGCAGATGGGGTGTGGTCTGTGGTCATCCCGTGGGGCTTGAGGTGGCTGGAGCCCGGGTGGAGAGGACCTGTGGCCAGACTTCAGCCTGGCCTAGGGCCTGGTATTGGAGGTTCTGAGGAAATGCTTGCTCCTTCCTCTGCTTGTTGGGGGCTGCAGGAATGTTGTCACCATTATTGATAGAAAGAGAAATAAATGTTGTTTTGAAATGCTTCCCAGCACTGCTGTTCCTTGAACTTTAACTAGGGATGGTTCCAATGGCATTTTTGTCAATTTAGAATTAATGATAACGCCACTTCAAGAAGATGAAGGCAGGGGCCACAGTCCAGTCCCATCTCAGCCTGATGGCCTGGGCAGACCCCACGGGAGGAGCCTGGGATACTGGTGGAGCAGGGGCTGTCCTGCGTTAGGGCAGGAGAGGGGGCTGCTGGGTGTCCCGCAATGGCTTCGCAGCCTGACCTCGGCTAGAGCTCCGCCTGTGTGTGTGAGCATGCCAGTTTTGGCAGCAGATGTAGACTACATTTCTTCATAAATTCTGCGTGCCCAGAATAATGAACTCCCCAGCCAGCCTTTATGAGGACATTTGCTCCCATCCATCATAGGCTGTTACAACGACTTGGTGAAACCATAAATCTTATTTTGGGAGGAGTTTATTGTTTATATGGGAAAGAAATGTAGTCTTCTGAACACGACTCTTCATTCTGTTAATTTGGATATTTTATGATGTTTTTGATTAATGTGTTTATTAACTGTAGCTATGACAGAAGCAGAAATTAGTAATCATGACCAGAGCCAAAGTCTCTTCCAAGTGGAAAGATGATGAATGACTCCAGTTACTTTTGGCCTCCTTTGGGCCTCTTTTCCAGGGTCTCCTGGCTTCCAGCTGAGGTACATGGTGGGCCCCGGGTTCCTGAAGCCTGGTGAGCGGCGCCACTTCACCCGCTACCTGGCCATGCAGACCCTGCAGATCGACGTCTGGGACGGAGACTCCCTGCTGCTCATCGGCTCTGCTGCCGTCCACATGAAGGTAGCGGCTCTCCTGAAGGACAGTGGGTGCTGCGTCCCTCATGGGACAAGTCACCCTTTCAGGGTCTGCCTGCTTGGTAGGAGCGGGCACTGTCCCACCCAGGACCTGGTTGGCCTTCTCTGTTCACTAATTAAAAATAGTGCTGCATTCTCTGTTTCTTGAGAGGAAAAGATTGTTCACTCTCTGAATTCTAAAATGATAGTTGTTTGCTCAGGAAATTCTTAAGATGAAACTCAGTTATCTATTTCTCCTGCAAACTGACCTACCAGGCAGTGTCACTTCAGCTCCTTCCACGTGGTGAGTGTGGTGAGGGCAGGCGCATCTGAGGTAGGTTCAGGTGAAAGAAGGAAGACGTGAGTGACCGGGCGTGCAGTGTTTGTTAGCTGATTCCTAAGATCATGACATGCGTTGTGCCTTTCTCCTTCTAATTACAGTTAGATCTCTTTTACTAATTGTGCTTTTCTGTTCTCCTTGCGTACTAAAACCTAAATCCATGGATTCATTCACTTGTCCTCCCCGGGATTCTGCCCAAGCTTCTCCACTGTATGAAGGGGACTCCATAATAACTTTTGGGCCAAGGACTGGGGCCAGTTCCACGAGCTACTGTAGTGTCCTGAGACTCCTCCTCTCAGGCCACGGGTGGAGCTGGGAGAGGATGTGGCACGGTCATCGCAGCCCTAGAGTCTGAGACTTCCCCACTTTCCCTGAGTGCTGCGTAGCTCTTTCCTCCTAGATTCCTGACATGGCGGAACCCGGGGCTTCCTGTCTTAGCCTCATCCCCTCCAGCAGCTGCTCGCTCCTGAGCTCGGCTCCTCTGCTCCTTCAGCCTCGCTGTGTTCTTGGGGTGCTGGGTGTGGAGGTGTGGGGTTTCTTCCAGCTGTTCTTCCTCTGGGACATGGTCTGCTCGCGGCTCCCCGGGTGGTGGGCGGTGCACAGAAGTTCAGGGTGTGGTCTGCAGGTGCTAGGGATGCCGCGAGGCCTGACTGCTCTTCTCATGCCTCACCCTGGGCCTCTGTTCCCATCAGGGTCATGGCATGGGCACCACGGCGTCATTGTGGCCATTGCTTGTCTGCCTCCCACCCTGGCCTTGATGTCTCCAGGGCAGGGACAGGGTATTGACACCACAGCATCTCTCTTCTAGCACAGGCCTCAGCCCCAGCAGGCACTGCATGCTGGAGAAGAGTGGGAGGCAGAGCTGGGCCCTGCTGGGCACGTGTGTGGCAGCAGTGGCTCGCCCATCATACCCAGCCAAGCCTGTGCCTCTTCTTTGCTGTCCCACCTGGAGACGGAAGCCATCTCATCTGCTCCTACACGGAGAGCCCGTTACACAAGTGGTGTTAACTTGTTGACATAGACTTGAATAAATTAAATTTAAAACTTTACTTTTCTAAAATAAAGTCTTTTAACTTTAAAACTTAGATGGAAAACATGAAAAACTGACATAATCAGAGAGAACCCTCTTGCCTTGAGATCCTGGGAGAGTTAGGATGCCCTAGCTAGCCATCCCACGGTGGGCTCAGCTTTTGCACACGGGGCCAGCTTTCATCTTGTTTCAGCTCTTCCTGTTGTGGGACGTTATGGTGGCTTTTCCTTCTGCCAGTCACTGCTGTGGACCTCTTGAAGTTCAGTTTTACCACCATCTTCCAGCTGATTTCCTGGGGTGCTGGCCAGAACACGTCGCTTCGGTGATAAGTTTCCTCCAGGGATGGATGGCTCCTAAGCTGCCTGCAGTGTGACCCTCAGCCCAGCCCTGGGGCGGTTGTGTTTTTATCCTCTTTTCTGATGGAGAAAACAGAGGCCCAGGGTCACGCTGATGATAAGCAGGGCAGAGTTTTAGCCTAATTCTGTCTCCAGAGCTTGTGCTCTTTACCATCCTCTTCTCTGCAAATGTCATGTTCCCGGAAGAAGAATTCTGATGACGCCAATGACCCCACAGGCATGCAGAGCCAGGTGGGGGCTTGGCCCAAAGGCTCAGTCAGGCCTGCACTTCCTGCAGACAGAAGGCACAGCATCCCATGCCCTCGGCTTCATGGGGCATCAGCCTCTAAACCAGTGGACATTGGCCGTTTTGGTAATGATTTGGGAAGATGGTGCCTTGTTTTCACTGGCGTTTCCTCGCCTCCTGGAGCGGCTGACGTGGCTCCTTGTATTTGTTGGCCGTTCTCCAAAGGCGTCTTCTCACATCTCAGTCTCCCAGTGACTGAGGTTCTTGAACCATCAATGTTTATGCAGTGATTGTATGCAGTGTAGACGAATGTGGCAGAGCGAGCAGGGTCTGCGGCGACCAAAGCCCCCAGACCCACAAGGGGAGGGTCAGGCCTGGGCGTCTCACTCCCAGAGACCGGCAATTTTGCTGCTGTAGAAGTTGGAGAATTGCAAAATCTGAAACCTCATCTGCTCCCACACTGCTGCTTATGTGAGAGGGAACGCCAGTGCAGGGAGGGCACATGGGGAAGAGTGCCAACCAGGCCTGGGGCGCAACCCGGAGGCTGTTGTCGTCCCCCACACCCCTCACAGCGTTGGGGTTCAGGCAGGGGATTGAGGGGTTGAATCTGATCAGCAGAAGAGCCTGTGGTCAGGAAAGTCCTGCTGAGGCCCTGCTGGGTCTGAGGCTTCTGGCTCTCCCCATGCCGCGAGCAACCTTGGCCTGGCATATAGATCCTCACCCTGGGCCTCATCCACCAGCCCCTCATGCCCCATGGCCCTTCCCTGGGCCCCACAGGCCTCTACCCCAGCGTGCTCCCTGACCCAAGGAGGCGAGGGGGGCATTGTACCCTGTGCCCTTGGCCCAGCCTGCCTCCCAGCCTTCTCTGCCTCCCGGCCCTCTCTGCCTCCCCGGCCCTCCCTGCCTCCCCAGCCCTCTCTGCCTCCCCTGCCCTTTCTGTGCATGGCCCGTCTTCCTCCTGGAGTCTCCTTCAGGTTTCCATCCTGGATTCCTCGCTGTCCCAGACATGGCTCAGCTTGGAGTCCTCTGCGTTGCCTGGTTGGCCTCCTTCCTGGTCTTCTTCCCTGTGGAGGAGAGGCTCGTTCAGGGCAGATGCCAGAACCACTTATGTGTTCCTAGGGCTCAGTGGTGTTTATTCAGCGGGTCAATCCTTTGTACTTTATGTAAGACTATGAAAAAGACCCCAGTAATGAGGACTCCTGCTTTGAGACATAGGCCCCTGGCTCGCTGCCCCCCCCTGCCCCTCACGGGATGCAGGTCTGTCCTGCTTTGCCCACTGCCTCCTGCCCACAGTGGCTCTCCCGGAGGGCTGGGGAGCAGCCTCCACCTGCAGGGGTCATGGAAGCAGCCTGGGCTGGCTCCAGCCTCTGAGCACCCCTTTCTCCCCCGCAGCATCTCCTCCGCCAAGGCCGGCCGGCGGTGCAGGCCTCCCACGAGCTTGAGGTCGTGGCGACTGAATACGAGCAGGACACCATGGTGGTGAGTGGAGACGTGCTGGGGTTTGGCCGCGTCAAGCCCATCGGTGTCCACTCGGTGGTGAAGGGCCGGCTGTACCTGACCTTGGCCAACGTGGGTAAGAGTCCCCGCCAGCTTTGCCCAGCGTTGTGTTGTTTCTCTGGTAGTGTGGGCTCCCTCAGGCAAGGGCCACGTCATGGGTGTCATAGGCCCAGAGGAAACCGGCAGAATTCTTAGCAGCCTGGCCATGGAGCCTGTGTCCTTGGCTGCCGAGTCTGTCCTGGAGCCAGTTGTTTGCATTCTGCATTTCTCACGGGGTTAAAGGCCGTCAGTCCTCTCGGGCTCTCCTGCATTTCTTCGTGTGGTGCTGTCCCTGGAAGATCTCTGGGCAGTCCTCAGATACAGTGACTGGGTTCCAGGAGAGACCTCCCTGTGCCTCATGGAGGACAGACAAGGGGAGTGTTCCTAACTTCCCTGCAGCCTGGGAGGAGGAGAATGGAGAGACGCACTTCTTCTCGGCCCAGCGCCATGACTCGGTAGCAAATGGTGCCCCGGAATTGCTTGTTAGAGAGACTAAGAAAGCCCTGGACTTCACTCCACGTCCAGGACTGTGGTGGAGGGGACACGAGGGTTGGGCGGCTCAGGAGGGTCCCGCCTGGGACGTTCCAGGGGCTTCGACTGAGGCCTCTGCTGGGACAGGGGCTGCTGATGGGACATCAAGGGACACGAGGCTGATGGTGCCTGCCTGTGCACGCCTCAGGGCAGAGGACCGGCGTGGGACGCTGCAGGGCAGTGACAAGCTCTCTGAACCTCCCGAGGGTCCTCTGGAACATTTGGGATTTTTCAGGGCCGCACTGAAAGCACCACAAAACGAAGCCGTGTGATGTTTCTGGAGCTGTGTCTGTCTGCGTGAGACCCAGACTTCTCTGCTATTTTATTAGGGAATTTTCCACTTCTCAGGACCCAGCCTGATTGTAAACCCCAGAGCCCCACAGGCCACATCCACCTGGTGCTGGCAGCGCAGAGGCTGGGGGGGCCTGGGGGAGGGGCGCAAGTGCGCAGCTCGTTAGTCAGTTGGAGGCTCTGCCTGCCTGTTTACAAATGTAGATCCGAGGCGGCCTGCAAAAGAGACAATATGGACACAGCAAAACTCAGTTAGGTTCTGGAGAAATAAATGAGCCACATGTGAGAAGCAGGCATTATTCAAAGGCTCATGCAGCTGAGGGAGTTGCAGGGAGCATTCTGCTCCGAGACTGCATTGCTTGTTTTTATATTTAATTCTCCAGCCCACAAATGTGCAGTGACTCCAAGTTTTAAAATCTTATCTTCAGAAGAAAGATTGGCTCCATTATATGTTATCTCAAATTGTCATTTTCGTACTTTGCCTGCAAGAAGGAGATAAGCTCATGGGAAAGGGAGGCTGAGATAGCCAGCTTGGGCGACTCCAGCGCCGATGGAGAGGGAGAGGTTTTAACAAAGGACAAATGCCACCCGCAGCCCTCTGCACATTAGTGCAGCCAGCCTGGCTCTCCTCCGTCAGTTCTGCATTTTTTGGAAAAGAAGGTGTTATGGCTTTTCTTTCTTCATAAAACTGGCTCATTTGTGGTGCAGCAGGCTTCTGTCTGCCAGCAGCGTGGGTGCTGGCAGCGTGGGTGCCGGCCTGCAGGGTGACCGAGCGGGACAGAGCCTTGGCCTTGGCCTGGGTTCTGCTCTGGGCTGGCTGCATTCACAGTGCATGTTCCTGCCTGAGGCCACTCGAGGAAGCCTGTACCATGGCTGGGGACAGGCTGGGGACAGTCTGCCAGCTGGGCCCAGGGCCCTGGCACTCTGATGATGGGGAGAGGATGGCCCTTGTGCTTGGTGACCGCTCCATGCAGGCCTGCTGCCTTCCTTGGTGGCCTCTTTTGCACTTTTGGTCAGCTTTTGTCATCCAGGGACTGCAAGCACCAGACTGCTTTCTTTGATCCCAGTGATCTTGGGTATGGAGTAGGACAGGGTTCGGCTGGGAGCTCAGGTGTCACTTGTATTCTGCGGCCCTTCCTGGGGGATGCAGGTGTCTGGGCAGATGGCCCCACAGGCCAAATGTCTGTGTTCTCACGGGGTGTTCAAGGAGACTGGATGTGATGGGCTCTGACAGATGGCCCGGCTGTGGGGTCCCATGTGTGGCGGTGGCGACTTTGCTGCAGCTGCAGGGCTGCATCAGGAGCCCTGTGTGTTTGGAGGGAATTCCTGCCCCTGCAGCAGATGTGTGGGCTGAGGTGTAACCTGTTTCGTGGAAGGGGAAGAAAGCCTGCACTAACTGAAGATCCAGGTTGTGCCCCGATGAAATGCTGTGTCTGCCGCTCGGCCCCTTCTTGAGTGAGCACGCAAGTGTAAATTGAGTTTACTCCGTTTATTTGCCCATGTGTACTAAGTATAAATATAGTAAGAGGAAACAGTCATGAAGCCCAGCAGTGTTCCGTGTCCATACGGTGTCCCATGGGGTCCTGCTGGTCTCACCCGCTGCAGCCATTGTCATCATTAGGTGTCCTGCACGCCTGAGCTCCAATAATGCTGGTCACCTGCCCCTGGAGCCATCTGGATCTGGCTTGACCTTGCAACGCTTTCCTTGATCTCTTAGTACTTCTTGGGGTGGTGCATAGTACAGACTTAAAATAGGCCGGTGCTCACTTCGATCAGATATGGGTGGACTAGGGGCCTTCTCGCCTGCGATTTAGAGAACCACTTGCTATCCGATGAAGGTGGTCGAGAAAGCTGTGGAACATTCTGGGCTGCCCCCAGGTGTGGGATGAACCCACTGCCGCCCACAGTGAATGGAGGTGCTGGGCGCCTGGGAGGCCCCTCTTTCTTGGAGTAGGTCCTCGGGACGTGACAGAGAGCTTGCCAGGACCGCCAGCCCATGAGCTGCTGCCCCTGCCAAGAATTCCCGTGGGAAGAAACACGGCAAGAAGCCGGGATGACTCAGCTTGTGGGTGGGAAACTGAGGCTTTGGGGCCGGTGGCACTTTCTCCTTGTCATGTGGAGGGCAGCGTGGCCGAAGTGTGAGCATCAGTGCCAGTGCCTGCAGCTCTGGCCCTGGTATGGGTGGGCTGGGCCGGTTTAGGCTGCCATCCCTTCCCTGCCCTGGCCTGCTTGCTTGTCTGCCGTTTTCCCACACAAATCTGGGAAGTCCTGAGGACCCTGACCATGCCTTCTTTGTGGTGGGGTTCGGCCTTGTACCTGGCACCATGGTGGAGAGATGGATGGAAGCATCGTAAGATTGATGAAAGCTTCTCACCCTGGAGCCCTGTTCTCCTTGGGCTTCAGAAGACACAGCCATGGCAGGGGAACATCTGTTTGTGCGAAGGAGCGCTGATCTGGACTCCTTTCTTAGGGACGAGGATCTTGATCCTGTGACCATGAACTGTCAGAGGCAAAAACGGATTCCTGGCACTCCCGGAGAGTAGTGTGTTCCGGCAGAGGCAGAGCCTCTGCTGGGGGTGTGGGGGGTGGGCTTTAACTTGAAGGGAAGCTGGAGACCCCTGCGAAGCGTGCGGGAGCAGAGATGGCCCTGGAGGGCCAGCGCAGGAGGGAGGGTCCCAGAGCAACAGGGAGAAGACTGAAACAGCCCTCGTTCTCAGTGCCCACTCTCAGGAAGCCGGCTCGGAGTAAGGACGGAGCAGACGCTGTGGGAGCTGGGAGGCGGTTGGTAGCCTGGAGGCAGAAGGCCGGTGCAGGGGATGTTGGGGAAGCGGAGGCTGCATCCTTATGGGGGTATAGCGGGGACCTGGGGTGACAGGGAGGTCAGCATCACTGTCCTGCTGCAGAGCATGGTGCTGACGTGGAGTTCAAGGAAAAAGAACAGGAGGTGAGAGGCGGGTGACAGCTACTGGGACATTGGCAAGAATGAAATTCCCCTGAAAAGAGATGGCTGGGTACATGTGCCACTGGCCTTTCTGGTTGCCAACTGGGGCGTGGGAGGAGGCAGCCAGCCTTCCCATCCTTTGTGCTGATGCCTGTGAGCCACCGCACCCAGCTGGTTCCCACTTTTAACAGTTCCCAGGAAGATGATGAGAACATCCGAGACCTGAGGGCATGCAACACTGCCTCATTGGAATTAAGGAAATTGATGGCGCAAGCATTTTGCACATGCCTTGGGTGGTTCACTTTGGGACACAGCTTTGTTGTGTTGGGGGTTGGCAGTGCTCTGCCTCACCCCTTGGGGAGGTAAAGCCACACGAAGATTGTGGGTCCCATCCTCGCAGAAGAGCCTTCCTTGGGCAAGCTCGGCTTCCTCCAGGATACTCACATTTGCAGGTTCGAGGGGTGCCACACCCACTGGCCACGTGTCTTCTGTGGACACGCTTGTCCTGAGGCCACACCGCTGGCTCTCCAAAGCCTTCTGTTATGAACACAACTCTGATGAAGGCTCCGGTTTGTGGGGGGCTCTCACACTCCGGGGTGTGTGTGGAGTCAGACGTTCACACGTGTAAATACACACAGGCTTCTCCTCGAAGAATGCGGCCGTCAAGAGGCCAAGGTTAGAGTTTGTGAGGCAGCCCCCCCTGGTGACCCAGAGATCCAGAAGTAAGAATCCTTGTGCAGGCAAACTGTGAGCACCACACAATTTCATTTGTCACCAGGAAATGGAGTCTGCCTCTGACACGGTAGGAGAAGGAAGACCTAGAGATGAAAGTTCACAGCAGAACCAGCTCCCACCTTTGTCTGTCAATTGCAAAGCATTCAAAACAGGTGGTGGGAACCTAGCATGTCAGGGTGTAGATGGGCCGTTTGAAAGCCAGAACCGCTTATGTGGTAGGGTATCCGTTTCATCAGATTCTTGTTTGGGGTTAGTGTCTTACGTTGGGTGTTTTTCGTTTAGGCCGCCTGTGTGAACAGAAAGCGAGAGATGCTGGCACACTGCCACCGTCCAGGTCTCGGGTCATCTCAAACGATGGAGCCAGCCGCTTCCCTGGAGGCAGCCTCCTCCCGAATGGAAGCTCAAGGCGTGAGTCGACACTGTTGGGCACATGTGTGGGTGGGTCGTGAGTGGCGTGTGAGAGGTGGAAGGCTGTGTGTGTGTGCACGTGCACGTGTGTGTGGTGGTGCTGTCAGTGCCCCTCTGCGTCTGGGGCGGGACTGTGCTGTCCACGTGTGGCGCAGTGCCCTGGCTGGATGCTCCTGTGGACCTGCAGGTCCCACCGAGCCACCACATTGATCACACCCTGGCACTCTAGGCTGGGTTCTGCAGGCGACTGTGCTGTTCAGAGAAGTGGGAACCCTGCCAGTGGTGTCTGTGTCCGGCTGGCTGCCCATCTGCAATGGAAGGAGAAATGGAGAGAAAGTCAGGATGAACATAGAGGGATTTTAAAAACAAGTTTTTAAAACAAGTCCCCCATGTTGTGAACAGAAGAAATAAGCCAGATATGGAGTGTGGGAAAGAAAGACCTGGTTTTGAGAGGGAAAGACCTGGGTTTGGTGAAAATGTGTTTCACAGCAGGGAAGCTCTGAAGTTTTTCTGTCCCCTTAAAATGTCAGGCCTCACAGAGCTGCATAGAAAGTATTTGTCATTTCAACTACACGTGGGAAGTGCTCTTTAAGGAGCATGCTCCCCGGAGGCTGCAGATCAGCTTGTCTGAATTCAGAGCTGCCGGGAGCTTTGTGTGTTGCTGGGTCTTGGAGCTGTGGCTGGTTAGAGGTGGGAGGGGCCTTGGGGTTCCATTCTGCAAGGCTTCCAGGATCCCACAAGGCCCCTGACATGGTGGGTAAACTTTGTACGTTCTCCCTGGGAGGGGCCTGAGGGGCTCAGAGGGATTCATGATCCAGGCCAAGTGGAGTCTGTTCTGGGCCAGCTTCCTCATTGTAATGTTGAGGAAACTGAGATGAAGAGAGATCAAGCAATTTGGCCAGTGTGGTAGCTAAGGGGTGAACATGGCTTAGAATCTGGATTTCCTGCCCTGGGGTCAGTGCCCTTCATCCTCAGCTGGTCCCGCAGACCCACCTAGAGTATGAGGGAGAGCCAGCTCCATAGAGAGAAGTCCCTGAGCTCCAGGAGCTCAGCTGAGGTTATTCATGAACCCTGCCTCCTGGTGCAGGAGGTCAGGGGCTCAGCTGTCAGGGAGCAGGAACCCAGAAGGACTTGCTGAGAGATCAGAGGCCCTGGGGTCAGCGATCCTCCAGACCCCGTTTTGCTCAGAAGCAGGACAGGAGGTGTCCCTTAAAACATACGTCTCGCCCATGGGGCAGGGCTCCGGAATCAGCAAGTTGCGCAACGTTTTAAAAAGGTTCTCAGTGCTTCATGCCTTGCTCCAAGTGCAGTCTCACCCAGCCACTCCGTAACTTCATTTCTGGCTTCATTGGGACCACGAAGTATTTGTTGGGGTGATGCAATCTGAAAACTTGAGCTCACGATAAACCCTCGCCTGCCCAGGTCTTAGGTCCCTCCTCTCACCTCGTAGCTGCAGGTAGCGCAGACCAAGCCTGTGCCTGAGACTTGGAAGAGCCGCTTGCCTCTGCGAAGCAGTTCTCCGCCTTTAAAATTGAATGGTGGGGGGACTTGATGGTGGCACCTGTTTCCTTGTGAGAAGGAGTCGGGGGCCACATCACTTCCCACTGTGTGGAGGCTTCTGCAAGGGGCTGCCAACACCCGTGGAAGTGGAACCAGGCTGGGAGAGCTCGGGCTGGTGTTGGCTTTCTGTGGGAAGTTTCTGCTGGTGCCAGGGGGTGAGGAAGGACCCAGGCCCTAAGCTGGGGCGCCCCTCAGCTGCCTGGTCTGTGCTGGGCTGAGCGATTGTCTGGGAGTCTCGTGTGTCAGCCTGTGACGTGGCCTTGTCACTCAGCCCAGTCCCACCTGACACCCTAAGCTCCTGCTCTGTTGGAAGGAAGGGCCTGGCCTATGCAGCAGTGGCCATGCCTCTACCTGCCACTGCTTGACCCTGTTCAGCTTCTGTTGATTTGCTCACTGACTCATTGTGTATCCCGGCATGAGTAGGGCCATCCCAAAGGAGGTGGGCTGCCCTGGGGGTCAGAGCTGGGAGCAGGAGCTCGAGGGCCAGGCCTGCTCTGAGCTTCATCCCCCACCCCCTACTAGCTGGAGGCCTCCTGCCAAAGGGGCAACCCATTACCCTCCATTGTTGATCTGAGGGGCTGAGGCTGAGAGCACTGGGTGAAGGCATTAGTGGGCCCTTGAATATCCTGAGAGCGTGACCTTCTAGAACATGGCCTTCTTCCCCTAGAAAATCCCCTGGTGGTTTGTTGATTGCTTTGGATCTAAGGGGACCAAAGTCAGAATTCCTTTTAATTTGGAGGCTGGGGAAAGGAGGGGATGCTGTGAAAACCAGGGTATAAAGTTACCTTCTTTTTCCGAGTCTCAGAACTGCAAAAGCATGAGCTGTGCTCTTGAGCTCCCTCCCTGGGTAGGTGGTTCTGGGAAGCCTGTTTCCGTGTCTGCTGCTGGAAGGTAGACACTGCACGTCCACCCGACTCCCGCTCTGACCCTTTCGCAGGAAAGCGCGTGGTGCAAGCGCAGAAGCTGGCGGATATGGACAGTGAGCTGGCTGCCATGCTGTTGACCCATGCCCAGGGGGGCAAGGGGCCCCAGGACATTGGCCGTGAGGTGGATGCCACCCGCAGGCGCAAGCTGGAGCGGATGAGGTCTGTGCGCCTGAAGGAGGCCGGGGGAGCGTTGGGCCGGCGCGGGACCAGCATGTTGGTGAGAGTTTCTCCACTGTCACTGTCCCCGGGGTTCTCCCTGCAGACCGAGTCACTGTGCACGTCTCTCCCTGCCTCCCACATGGCTGCTCTCTTAACTTCCTCCCAAGTCCTAGTGACAGAATAATAAGAACATCAGACTTTTTCAGCCACCAGGGGAAATCTTTAAGTGAGAATTATCTGGAGAGCTTTTAACAAAAGCCAGTTCTTGGGCGTCACCCCTGGAGATTCTAATACCGATTGGTTTGGGCAGGATCCCCGGAGCCTGGGTTTGAAGAAAGCTTTGCAGGTGATTCTGAGGCTGCCTGGGGTCTGGGGACCAGAGCTGTGAGCAGCTGACGTATCTTGGGTTATCAGTGTAATCATTCCGGCTAGAAAAATTCCCCTTTTTGGCTGAAAATCTAAATAAAACTTTTAATACTTTGCAACTAAGAAATGGGAGGTGAGAATGGTTGTACCTCCTGGGCTTGGAGAAGATGGGAACCACAGGGCCTCGAGAAAGATCTCCTGAGATTCCCCTCCCATGCAGGCAGGCCGGGGTCTCAACAGAGGTGTCCTTCCCTCCCTTCCTCTTGCCCTCCCTCCCTTCCTCCCAACAGGCAGGGCTTAAAGCTGTGGCCTCCGGAGACCACCAGCCTGGATGACTTTGGCTGTGTCTGCATGAGCTTGAAATTGAGGAGCCGCTTTCAGCCCCAGCCCTGTTTCTCATCCTAACTCAAGTCTGGCCCCGTTGTCTAGCACAGGCTGTCAGGCGTTCCCCTCCTGAAAAGCTCTGATGATAAAATTCTGATGGAGGCCCCAGGTGTGAAAGGTCCAGCTCCAATCCCCCTGCAAAGAATAGCCAAAGCCTTGGATGATAGAAAGTGAATATCTAAAGTCATTTAAGTCAGAAATCAAATTTTGTCCTCACTTTTTGAGTTAAAGCCTGAAAGCGTTCAAGTCAGCCCATCTCTTCTGTATTAGACAGAAGGTTCCCAGTGCCCAGCCGCAGTGGCTTCTTGGAGCTACTGAAGCCTGGCCAACTCCCCGGCATCGGGGTGTCCCCTTCTAGGCCTCAGATCTTGCAAGGCAGCCTCCAGTGGGCCTCACTTTTTCTTGTAAGGCCCGCAAGAAAAACAAGCCAGTCTCCAGCCTGTAGAACCTACGCGTGCTGGCCAAGGTCTTAGAGTCCCTGGGCCATCAGAGCAAGGGGGTGGCTGAGCCGTGCTGAGGCAGCTTGCTGGTTGCCCTGACTCTGACCCAGTGTGACCAGGACTCAGCAGGCTGGGGGCATGTCCTCTCCTGGGGGCTCTGCGCCCACACAGTGCTCCCGATGTTGTGTTGGGGACCTGGCTGGTGAGGCCTGTCACCAGTCATAGTTTTGAAACCATTCTTTTCCGTTGTTTGAAACCACTGCTTCTGATTCTGCACTGCGCCGGGGGCCAGGCTCGTGGCTGTGAAGGCTTTCGGGAGCAGGCAGGGGTGTTGTGTGAGCCTCCGTGTCGGGGACATAGCCGATCTCTGTCCAGCACTGCCTGAGATCCATGCCTGGGTGGGGCCGGCTAGTTCCACACAAGACCACGTGGTCAAGGATGGGGATGGTGGTGGCGATGCTCTTGCAGAAATGTCCTGTTCTGGTGTCGTGGGTGGTGGGCGGCCAGCAATAGCCCCTCATGGAGGAGAGCGTGGCTGGGACACTGTCTGCCATGTCCTCTTGTCCCCAGACCCAGCAGAGTGTCCGCACACAGCACTTGCGGGACCTACAGGTCATTGCTGCTTACCGGGAACGCACAAAGGCTGAGAGCATTGCCAGTCTGCTGAGCCTGTCCATCACCACGGAGCACACACTTCATGCCACGCTGGGGGTGGCCGAGTTCTTCGAGTTTGTGCTTAAGAACCCCCACAACACACAGCACACAGTGACTGTGGAGATCGACAACCCCGAGCTCAGGTGAGGCCCCAGCAGCGCCCCCGCCCCTCCCAGATCGACAGCCCCAAGCTCAGGTGAGGCCCTGGCAGCGCCCCCATTCCCCACAGATCGACAGCCCAGAGCTCAGATGAGACCCTGGCAGCGCCCCTGTCCCCCTGCCCTGATCGACAGCTGAGCTCAGGTGAGGGCACGGCAGCGCCCTCATCCCCCTCCAGATAGACAGCCCTGAGCTCAGGTGAGGCCCCGGCAGCGCCCCCATCCCTCACAGCCCAGATCTGTGTTGGGTGCAGCTGGCGTCCCTTCTGAGCTGGCATGAATTCTGCCCGAGAGCCGAGGCGATTTGATTCCTCTCTCCCACTCCTCTGAGCTCCGCTCTCAGTGGGTGGGATGTACCCTCTGGTGGGCCTTCCTGGGAAGAACTGCCCTGATGCCTGGACACTGCCTCCCCCAGCGTCATCATGGACAGTCAGGAGTGGAGAGACTTGAAGGGTGCTGCTGGCCTGCACACGCCGGTGGAGGAGGACATGTTCCACCTGCGCGGCAGCCTGGCCCCCCAGCTCTACCTGCGCCCACACGAGACTGCCCATGTCCCCTTCAAGTTCCAGAGCTTCTCTGCGGGGCTGCTGGCTGCGACGCAGGTGCGGGAATCAGGTGCACAGGGAAGTTGCATTTGGCTGACGACCGTGAGAAATTGAGAATGCTTCCAGTCTCCATCAGTGTCCCTCCCGTGCCTGTGGCAGATGGGCCAGCCTTTGGGCTGCTGTCTGCTCCCCTTGGTACTCAACAAGAGACCTGGCACCTGTACCGTGAGTGGCAGCTGGCCCCTTCTCTTTTCCAGCCTGATGGGTGTCAGGCCGGACCGCTCCTCATTTTCTTTACTAAGTGGGTCAGAAGGGTTTTTTTAAAGCCCAGTGAATCTAATGGATTGACATTTTCTAGCATTTTCTCTCCAGGTAATGTTGTTTGCTCCCTTCTGACTGCAGCACTGGCTGCTCTATGCAAGATGCAGCCTTGCAGGCGTGTTGTGTGGGGAGCATGCACACGGGGGTGTGTGTGCAGGCAGTAGGTGAGGTGTGTGTGCAGGGAAGATATGAGGTGTGTGTGCAGGAGGTGGGTGTGTGAGGTCTGCATGCAGGAGGTGGGTATGTGAGGTCTGTGTGCAGGAGGTGGGTGTGTAAGGTGCACGTGCAGGAGGTGGGTATGTGAGGTGTGTGTGCAGGAGGTGGGTGTGTGAGGTCTGCATGCAGGAGGTGTGTGCGCAGGAGGGGTGTGAGGTAGGTATGTGAGGTGTGCGTGCCGGTGGGTGTGTGAGGTGTGCGTGCAGGAGGTGGGTGTGAGGTGTACGTGCAGGAGGTGTGTGTGAGGTGTGCGTGCAGGAGGTGTGTGTGAGGTTTGCGTGCAGGAGGTGTGTGTGAGGTGTGTGTGCAGGAGGTGGGTGTGAGATGTGTGCAGGAGGTGGGTGTGTGAGGTGTGCATGCTGGAGGTGTGTGTGAGGTGTGCGTGCAGGAGGTTGTGAGGTGTGCGTGCAGGAGGTGGGTGTGTGAGGTGTGCATGCAGGTGTGTGTGAGGTGTGTGTGCAGGAGGTGTGTGTGAGGTGTTCATGCAGGAGGTGCGTGTGGTGTGCGTGCAGGAGGTGGGTGTGTGAGGTGTTTGTGCAGGAGGTGGGTATGTGTGAGGTGTGTGCACGATGTGGGTGTGTGAGGTGTGCATGCAGGAGGTGGGTGTGGTGTGTGTGCAGGTGATGGCTATGTGAGGTGTGTGTGCAGGATGTGGGGGTGTGAGGTGTGCACGCAGGAGGTGTGTGTCAGGTGTGCATGTAGGAGGTGCGTGTGGTGTGCATGCAGGAGGTGGGTGTGTAAGGTGTGCTTGCAGGATGTGGGTGTTAGGTGTGCGTGCAGGAGGTGTGTGTGAGGTGTGTGTGGAGATGGGTGTGTGAGGTGTGTGTGCAGGAGATGGGTGTGAGGTGTGCATGCAGGTGGTGTGTGTGAAGTTTGCATGCAGGGGCTGGGTGTGTGAGGTGTGCGTTTGGGAGACTGGAGTGTGTGTGAGGTGTGTGTGCAGGAGTTGTGCATGTAGGGGTCTGTGTGAGGTGTATGTGCAGGGGTGTGTGTGCATGCAGTGTGTGAGGTGTGTGTGCAGAGGGTGGTGTGTGAGGTGCCTGCAGGGGTGTGTCATGCCCGCGTGTGTGAGGCAGGCATGGGGCATGGAGTGTGTGTTTCAGCTTTTGACCTTTTGGGGTCAGCTCTCTAGCGTGATGGTCCTCACTTAAGGTGGACTGGACATGTCCCTAGAGGCTCACTCCCAGGGTTCCATGCTGGCTCTTGGGATGGGCTGTGAGGACAGCAGGTGGGACCTCAGGCCTTTGGCTCAGGCAGAGCCAGGTTTCCACCTGAGATCTGCTGTTCCGCTTGCTCATGGCAGCCTCAGCCTTCTCTGGTGCAGTGAGGCCGGTTGGTGGTGGTTACTGCCCAGAGGGTCAGCGTGAGAGGAGGCTTGTGGCTCCCAGCTGGGCGGCAGTGGTGTCTCTAAGCACAGGTGCTGGTCCCCCAGTGATGTTGCTTCCTGACCTTTTCCTGCTGACCGGTTCCCACAGGCATCTCCTGGGTTGAGCAACGAGAAGGACATAGATGCCACGTCACCTTGGAAGTCCAGCACAGTGCCCACTAAACACGCCAAGGTAAAGGGGTAACAGAGGACAAACTGACCTCGGGCCTCGCCGGATATTCCCAGGGCCTTGGTGGTCTGACTCTTGCGCCCTTCTCTCCCCTCTTGGAAGGAAGGGCTGGGGCCAGGGCAGGGCAGGGCAGGGGTGGGGTGGGCCTCAGAATGGCCTTCTCCGTGTCCTCGCTGGGCAGGGCAGCTTCGTTCGGGCGCTGGGACAGCCTGCCTGGTGTCTGGCAGGAAATGCCTCCTTGGCGGCTGCCTTCTTAGAGCCTGGGGCCCGTGGTTCCCGTGGTGGCTGCCACAGCCTGCGGCCGCTCCGTGAGCCTCACACACAGCATTCGCTGGATGTGCATGTGTGGTGTGCTTCTTCCTGGAAATAAGACTTAGCATTTGGTTGCCTCCCTTGCTAAGGGAAAGCCGTGTTGTAAGCCTTCAGCCGGCTGAGACATTCTCAGGAGGAGCTTGAGAGACACTGCTGCGTTATGGCAGTTTGTGAAGGGTTTTTTTTTGTTTGGTAGAAACATGCCATTTGTAGTAGTTGGGAAGTGAAAAACAAAATAAAAAAGGCTTGGTCTTTCCCGCACCCTGCCTGGAGAACAGAGTTCAGAGTTGAGCAATCCCAGCCTGAGGCTGTGGGGTCCCTGCTGTGGAGTCCCTGTGGCCCGAGTCTCACTGGTTGCAGCCTGGCCCCCTGTGTCCACCAGCTCTGTCATCAGTGGAAACTTGCTTTATTTTATTTAAATCTGCAGCCACAGCTTTGCCATGGTCCAAGGAATACATCTGTTCTGTGTTTAGTGCTGTAGGTAGCTTTGCCTTGGTCTAAGGAATACGTCTGCTCTGTATTTAGTGCTCTAGGTTACATCTGAGGCTAATGCTTTTTCCTTACACGTGTGGGAAGTCCCAGCCATCACATCCTGTTGCCAAAACCATTGGGAGGAAAGTCGTCCTCTGCCAGGTTAGGTCTGAATGGCAAGCCTGCAGGTGCATGACCGCAGACAGAGGAATAGGAGGAGAGACGGTCCTCACCGTCATGAGCCTGTGGTAGCATTGGGAAGCTAGTAGCTTGCCGAATGCCCAGAGGTTGAGGTTTCTGTGCCAACGTAGCACAAAGCAGGCGAGGGCCAGGGCCTCCGTGGGAAGGCAGGGACGCTCTGTTGTCTCTTTTTGCCATGGGCATGGGCAGTCTGTGACCTTCCTGGAATTTGCAGGATGATTTCACTTTGAAATGGGGGGTTAATGGCAGCTGCATTTTCAGGAGGCTATGCGCTAGTCAGATAAGGGACATTCAGGTAAGATTTCAGATCTTTTCACCTTAAAATAATCTTTATGTCAAAAATGTGATCTCTTCACATGAATTTGGAGTTCTAGGGGAAATGTAGGTGTTGTATTAGTTTACGCGTAATGACTTCAGGGTGTGTCTGACCGATAAGGACTCTTCCTCTTACCGCGACTGCATGCTGTCATCCTGCCCCCAATCAGCGCAGATCTTGGCACTGTCTGCCTCCAGGGCTGGGTCTTTCTACAGCTGGTGTGTCTGGTTCAGGACTGCCTTGGGTGCTCCGCTGTTAGAGTTGCTTAGTGGGGAGACTGCGTCGTTGATGAAGGCCACCCGTAGAGCATGCTGGCTGGCTCTGTGCTCAGGTGCTGACGGCCTGATGCCACTGTTGTAAAGTCTCTCTGCCATTCTCCCAGTGAGTTTTCTACAAATGAGAACTTTTGCTATCAGCAGTTTGGTTACCTGAAACATCCTTCATACTGGCAAGTGAGGGTGAATGTTAGACTCATTCCCTTTATTTATCCATTTTCAAATAAATGAGCTGCATCCTAGCAGCCTCCAGAGACGGTCCGTGTTTGTGGCGTCTCATGATGGGACAGCTGGGTTTTATATTTGTACTTCTCATCCCATGGCAGGCACTCTTAGATGCTGGAACTGCCCTCTCTCTGGCCACCACCATCCTTTTCAAGTTAACTCCTGTGCTTTTTTCATCAAAAGTAGTTATTTTAAATAATTTTGAACTTAGGGAGAAGTTACAGGAAAACTGCAGAGAATCCCCACATATGGTTTCCCCAGACTTCCTGATCGCTAACCTTTGCCATGTTTGCCTTGCCATTCTCTGCTTATGCATTTTTTCTGAATAGCTTGAGAATAAATTATCAAGTAATGGCCCTTAATCCATGACACTTCAAGCTGAGTTGTCTTGAAAATAAGTCCATTCTCCTCGGTGACCAAGTCAGAGTCATGAAATTACGGAATGGACGCTCCTCTTCTGTCCTCACAGGCCCAATTCACATTCACAAACGTCCCAGTACTTGACGGACTGCCCACCCAGTGGCCCCGACCAGCCCGCTGTCCATGGAGTCCTTCTGGTGTGGCTGCAGCCATTTGGAAGTGTGCAGACGGTTTTCCTGCAGTGCACCCAGTGGGGCCGGTCTGGTGTTCGCTTCAGTTAGACCCAGGTTATGCCTTTGGGGCAGGGACTCTGCAGACACTTGCTATGTCCTCTCAGAACTTCATACTGGGAGGGACACAATGTTGCTTTGTCCTGTTACTGGTGATGCCTTTTTCATTCAGTTCAGATGGCATCTGCCGTACTTTTTTCCTGTAATAATCAAGAAATGTTTTTGGGTTTTGTAATTAGTAACGAGTAAGTATCTTGTCGGGAGATACTGAGGCCATTCAGATGACCTGTTCTTCATCAGACTTTACGCACTAGGTCTCACTGTGCACTGGTGGCCTGGCCCAAGTCAGTATCAGGATGCTTGCCTGCCACGGGTTTTCACATTCCATCATTCCTTCTCTATTGATCACCGGCATTTTAAGTAAGGTAGAGCTGGGCCTTTACCTCATTCACATAGTTATTTTTTATATCCTTATGAACAGTGAATTTCTGTTTACTCATTTTGTTAATATCATTCTTTATTTTGTTGCTAATATTCATGTTGTCCCCAACTAATGAGGGGCAGCCCCTTCAGGCCAGCTCCTGTGTCCTGTTGATTCATCCCTGTCTTCCTCCGAGTCCTTCCTTATTGCCAGCACAGCAAGATGCCCCAGGCTCAGCATGCATTTCCAGAATGTCAGCCATTTAGCTAAGTTTCCTTTGGGTGGAGAATGATATTTAGAAACCAAGATGTGAGTGCTAGATGTTCTCAGTACTACTGGGATGTCACTGCCACTAGTCCCTCTTAGCAGAGAGACCTAAGAGGTATGTGCCTGCACGTACAGATGCAGACATAGACATAGACTTATGTGCATAGCATGCATATATGACATGTAGATATCAATGTGTGCACATGTATGTGTGTGTATGTGCACAGACTGTTTCTGTGTGTGTTAAAGACCACGAATTCGTGCCAGTTCTTCTAGTACCAGTTAGCATCACAGGTCTCTTCCTGTTGTCTGTTTCCATGTTTGTAATTCCCATTTCTGCTTGTGAGAAACCTGGTTCCCATTTGTTTCACTATATTTACTTATTTGTCTAATTCCTCTGTATATAACCAGTCTGCTGACCACACTGGCCAAATCCCTTTGGCTACAATACCACTGACCACACTGGCCATCTTTGTGTATGTGTATATTTCAAAATGTCAGTACCAACCAGGGATGGAGTATTCTCTATACAGAGCAGGGTTTCTGAGGGTGCTTTTGCCCTTAGGTCCTTTGTGTCCTGTGATGTAAATTCACTCAAAGAATTCTCCTTTGGGGAGTTACAGCACCAACTTGATAAAAGGTTGGATCTGTTTATTTTTAATACATTGACACTTCCGTATATTTTAGTTTAGTTTTTAAAATTAAAAACATTTAAGTAAGTCCAAAGCCAAACTATAAAGCAAGATTTATTTGGAAGGATCTTGTTTCCCTTCCTGCCCCTGCCCGTCTCTCCTCCTCGGTGTGTGCAGACGTGGAGTGTGTCTGCATGTGTGTGTGTGCATGTGTGTCTGCATGCATGCGTGCGTGTGTGTGTTTGTGTGCATATGTGTGTGTGGGTACGTCTGTGTGTGCATGTGCATGTCTCTGTGGGCGTGTATATATCTTGAAATAAACATAGGCTTTGTATCAGTTGTCCAAATTAATACCTCTTTAGATAGTATGGTTTTTAATAAGTAACTCTTTTGAAACCAGGAAAGTTTCTATTTCTAACCCTTTTTGTTTAGGCACAGCCTCTTTTTGTCATCTGGACTCAAAGAGCTCGTGCTGACGTGCTTGACCGTGAACTTGACCATGCCACCACCCACCCCAGGACCTCCTGGCCTGACTTGCGCATATGCATGTAGGGTGTTGGGAGGTGGAATCATGGCAGAAGTGTGCGTACTTGAGAGAAATAACAGCAGTGTGGCCGCTCGGGTGCCCTGTGCTGGGTGCTGGCCCAGGCCTTGCTCAGTGGTCCCCTCTGGGTGGGCACCCACAGCTGTAGACTCAGTCCCTGCCTCTCATGATGCCCGACCTTCCCCCCTCATGGCAGTGGAGGGCGAGTGGGTCATGGCGACAGTGGAGATCCCTGTACTGTCGAAGGAGGGACGAGAAGCTGCCCATGAGCCTCGTACCCATCCCAGCGCTCAGTGTGGCCTCCTCACAGGTCTTGTTCCGAGCAAGTGACGGCAAGCCCATCGCTGTGCTCTGCCTGACTGTGGAACTGCAGCCCCACATGGTGGACCAGGTCTTCCGCTTCTATCACCCGGAGCTCACCTTCCTGAAGAAGGCAATCCGCCTGCCACCCTGGCACACGCTTCCAGGCAGGTCCCGCACTGACCCCATGGCCACATGTTGCAGGCTCACCTGTGTGAAGTAGATGTCTCCTGAGGGTGACAGATGACCTCATGACTTCATGCCCTGGTGCTGTTAGAGCAGCACATGGTGCCTGGGGAATTCTGCCTCCTGCCTTTATGGTTTGAGATAGTATCCCTCTTGCTACCTCTGAGATGACCAGGTGCGAATTTGCTGGCTGAGCCCACCCTTCTAAAAATCCCAGCTCCTGCAGCCCAGGTCCGGGTGTGCCTGGAGGAACACCCGCCTCCTCACCTGATGGCCGCAGGT